TGAGAACTTATCAGTGCTGCTCTCAACGGGAATCCAGGAACAGCTTCCTAGCAGCCACAGTAAAGAGAGTTAACTCTTTCCTGACTGAACCCAGCACAGGGTGTTATGACCCAGGTGAAGGACCCAGCACTTGACCTTGTTGAACCTCACACAGCTGGCCTCGGCCCATTGATCCAGCCTGTCCAGATCCCTCTGCCAAGCCTTCCTGCCCTCAGGCACATCACCACTACTACCCACCTTTGTGTCGTCTGCAGACTTGCTGAGGGTGCACTCAATGGGTGACTTGCCCAGGTCTTTGATAAAGATATTAAACAGAACTGAGCCAAATATAGGCCCAAACACAACAGAAAGAACTGATTTTGAATTTACAACAGGAATTGGAAGGAATGAAACAGGGAAAACAAGGCATTAGTAGAAATCTGACCTCCAGTTGAAACCTCCTTTTCCTTTTGCAGAAGAGGGGTTGGGACTATACTTACCATCTTTTCCTTCTCTTTTGTCATCCAAGATTCATGTGTCCTGAAAATGCAGGAAGATTGCAAAGCATCCCTCATCTCTACATTTGCTGTCTTATTCATAATCTCTTCTATATTTTGGGGACTTCTCCATTTACAGGGTAAAAGAGCAAAACAGAGCAATTAATGGCTCTTACCATGAATTCAGGATTCTCCAAGGAGAGAGAATCACAATTTAAAAAAAACAGATTGATTTATAGTAAACAAAAACCCAAAACAAAGAAAAAACTCCAATTCCCCCCAGGCCCCCTTTCTAAATCCCATCCAGGATTTTGTCCTGTTTATTTTCAGTGGAACTAATTCACTTTCTGTTTGCATTTTTGTACATAATTACTGAGAGTTGTTTTCTTTCTCCAGGTCATTTCATTTTTGGCTGCAGTGTTGCACAAAAAGGGAACTCGTGAAGATATTGAAAATAATATGCCAGAATTTTTACTGAGGACAATGAAAAAAGAATTGAAGTGTAACCCCAAGAAGGTACAGCTTTTAGTGTTACAAGCTTCAGAATTTTGGTAAAAGGCAGTACTTGGATTGTTTTGTGGTTTTGTTTACTTTAAGAGTTTATATTTTTAATATTCAGCTATCTAGGTAGTCTAGGGGTTCATGGCCTTCCTAGTAGTGTTAGGGAAGCCTTCAGTTATCATAGTGCATTATCTAGCTGTTACTATCTGTTGTCTAATCTGTTAATATTGTTGATCTGCGCTAACACAAAACATTTGGAAATACCCGGGTGAGATTTGTGGGTAGATTACTTTGAAAAGCCCATGTCAGTGAGCAGAATATTAGTTTTGTGTGGTTGTGTTTCTAAAGTACAAAAGGCATATGTGCATATGTAACACAATATTTAAATAATTAAGGAAAACACCTATATTTGGAAAATTTATTGCTAATATTCTTGTGATCTCACTTATTTTCTTGAATGACTGTCATAATGTGAGAAGTAAGGCTGACTGATAATCTACGTAATCAAGTACAGTAAATAAAGATACATGCAAAAGTTCTGTGTGAACAGGAGAAATCTGAAGATACAGGACCCATGCAATTTCTGTTTTACAATGCTATTTTTATTTTATTGGAATAATTGGAGTATTTAACTGGCAGAATGGTTCATATAGCACTAGTTCTGTGAATAATGGATAGTTTCCTCAGGAAAGACAGGCAGAGAAGAAGAGGTGAAGGGATGGCATGTCACGTGGAAAAAAACCAACCAACCAAAACAAAACAAAAAAACCTCCCCAACACCAGGAATGCTGCTGACTGAGAATGAGAAGAATTATTTCACTTTGACAATTAAGTATTAGAACAGGTCATGGAAAGGTTATGGACCACCCCATCCTTGGAGGTTTTGAGTACCTGAGTAGTAGGGAAAATCCTAAATGTCTGAATTAAGTATTATCCCTGCTTCGACCAGAAAGTTGGGCTAGAAACTCCCTGAGATCCCTTCCCACCTCACTGATTTTATTATTCTATGATATTAAATGAGTTGTGTGAGCTGCTTTAGATTTTCAAACCATTTTCCCACCTTCCTGTTTTGACGTCTTGTATTGACTGGACTTGTGACTTGAAGGAAGCTGCTTACCCTCTTCATCATTTTCTTTTCTCCATCTGTAAAACATTTTTATGGCACAGAGATAGAGATGCCATAACAAAGCAAAGTGATAGTATCTCATGTCTCATTGCTGGTTTTAGAGTATAATTTGAGTAAGTAGCACTACTATGTTCTCTTTTGTAGTATTACAGTATTTTTCTTCCGTACTATTTACATAATCCAGGTAAAGTGATTGCTTTTGCATTTGTATTGACTCAGATACTTTCTATGTTGTGTATTGAAGTGACAGAATTAAACAATTCAAACTATAAAGCAGTAAAATGCATCCCAAGATTTTGACTTTCCTTACTGAGAAAATCCTATGTTGTAGTTTTTCCAGTAATACTGTAACAGTTATTTGTTTTCAGACTTTTCTCATAGTGGCCCCTCTTTCAGTGCTGTACAACTGGAAGAATGAGTTAGACACATGGGGGTACTTTAAGGTCTCTGTCTTACACGGCAGCAAAAAGGATGATGACCTGACTCGCGTCAAGCAAGGGAAATGTGAAGTTGCCCTTACAACATATGAGATACTTCGCCTGTATTTGGATGAATTTAACAGGTAAGCATTTGAATGTTTTTTTCTACAGACAGAATTTTAACTGTGTCTAAATTTGCATTGTTCTTTCCAAGCACTTTTTCTTTTTGTGCAATGTATTTACTGTTAAATTAAATGACTCACTGTGTTGAAGAGGAGAATCCCATTAACTAACTTTGGAGAGTTTATCCTATACTCTCTTTGTAGTGGGATGCTTGGGAGAGGTTTGAACATTTTTTTATAAAGCTAGTTTTTGCTGTTAACACGTTCATGAAGTGTTCCCTAAAAAATACAGGAACCACCTGCCTCAAAACTTGTGGTAGCTAAAAGAAGATATTTTTATCTTTCAGTAAGGAGAAAAAAAAATCTCCTTTTTTTAGCAAATGTTCAAAAGGTATTTTCCTTATTATTTGCACTTTTCATCAGCTTGATGAAATTCTTAAGTCCTAAAAGCTTTGAGATACAAGATGTGTATATGTGTTGGTGTGTGTAGTTTTAAATACCTAATGGACTTATCAAAGTTTTTCTGACAGCCGGTTGTGTTAGAAATCCTACTTTATTTGCTTTATAGTTGTCAGCATTTTCAGAGTAGGAGTGCTGCCTTTATTTAGGCTATGTTCAGGAGTACTTGGCCTCTCATCTGATCCTAGCAGTCTGTCTTCTTTCCTTATATCATCTTGCAAGCAGGGTGCAAGTTGTGTGAATAGCTGGTAGCAGCAGCCTGCCCTTAGCAGCTGGTGTTGTCAGTTGCTCTGTAGATCTCGTTGGTTTAGGTTGGGAACACTCCAGGCCCCAGCGAGTGTCCTAGTGTTCTGGACAGCCGTGACCAGAACAGTCAGATCTCCAGCTCTGTATGTGCTCAGGTCTGGAACGAACTGCAGACAGGAGGAGACTAAGAGTTGTGTTACCAGTACCCTAATTCTTGTTGTGTTAGAGGAACTTTTCAGGCTTGGTCATTGAATAGACAGTGGTCAGGAAATAGATGCATGTGCCGAGCACATCTGATGCGTGACGGACTGCTTGCAAAATGCATTAGCATACAGATCTACCAAGCTGTTTCTGCAGAGCATGTGACTCTATGATCTCGGCACTGGAAGAAGCTCTGTCTGTGTCTTCTGTAGCTAGAGTGGTGGATTGGCCTCAAAACCTGGCCCTAAATAATTAATTGTCACTTATAAGAATACATAGACTCAGTTATGCATGTAAATCAGCATAAGGAGAGCTTAAGGTGAAGGAGCTAGCATATGGTCAGAAACTCCAATTTTTAACAGATTTTTAGGAATGCATTTAGCAGGCATCAAAAATGCCACAAGATCAACCTTAAGATGGTTGAACAAAATGCAGCCTGCTCAGGAGAGAGGTTTCCTTCTAAACACGTCTCTTTCACCTCTTTGCTGGTTAAAGTATCATCAAGGTGAATGTGATTTTTGTTCATATACATAAAGCAGTGTCATAAAGTGAATAAATCTCTTCCTAGTAACTTGATGACTTTAAATTGTTACCGCAGTGTACAGGTCACTCTACCTCTTAAGTTTTATGCTTCAACTGGCTGCAAAGTATCTTTCAGTCCCTGCTTCTCAATGCATTCTTCCTAGTCACAAAATCACACCATTTTAAAACTCCTCTGCTGTATTGGTGTTACATAGATGTTAAAGAAGTTGAGTGATGCTTTCATGTAGGAAACCATGCAGATCAAAATGCTTTTAATCTACTGGTAGTTACAGTAGATAGGATTTGTTGGAAAAATGAAGCACACCGGTGATAAGCTTGTTTCAATAGTTCACCTTCAGAGATTTATTTAACTTTTCTATGGCGGACTTATGAGTGGAATTACTGCTGGTGAGATGTGCTGGATTGATTGCTGCGGGGATTGAGAGCTGCTTGCTTCTCAGAAAGCACTGGATACAATTAACACTAGTGCATTTATTTAGCTGTACAGTTTAGTCATTGTACTCAACTATCACAACTGAATTTACTAAACAAGTATAGGGAAAATGAGTAGTATAATACAATGTAAAGTAGGAAAACCCAAAAGTAATAGTGTGTTACATAATCACAGTTACATCTGTGGCTGACTTCACTTTGTATGTGAATGCAGGATGACAGCATAAGTAGTTTCAGTTAATACAGTATTTCTTGTTGATTTGCAGTGTGGAATGGTCAGCTGTGATAGTGGATGAAGCACATAGAATCAAGAATCCAAAGGCTCAAATTACTCAAACCATGAAGTCATTAAAATGCAGTGTTCGCATAGGTCTTACTGGAACTATTCTTCAAAACAATATGAAGGAACTTTGGTGTGTTATGGACTGGTAAATAAAATACCTTTTTTTATTATTTAAACACCTCTACATGTGTATTTTGTGGTGGAACTATGATAGGGCTGGACGATTTGAATCATCCCTGTGAGGTTCTGTGTACTTGTCACGTCTGTTGCTCTGCTGAGCTTTAATTTTCTGGAGATTGCAAACCTTTCCTGATGGTCTCCCTTAACAGTTGAGGATCTCAGTAAGTAAATGAAAAAATGGCATGTCTGGAAGAAGTATAGTAATTTCTATTATATACACAGTTTCTGTTAATTTCTCTAGTGATTATTAATTTAAGATCTCTTGCTGGTAGATAAAAAGAAATTATGGTATGTTTTTGATTAATGGAAAAAGATAGGCTGCCTTGGAATAAAGAAAATGCTGTTATTCCTTCACACACACACGCTTCCTTTGTTTTCTAATAGGGCTGTACCAGGACTTTTGGGTAGCAGACTGCATTTCAAGAAGAAGTTTTCTGATCCAGTGGAGCATGGCCAGAGGCACACTGCAACTAAAAGAGAGCTAGCAACAGGTCGTAAGGCCATGGTGAAGCTAGCGAAAAAATTGTCTGGCTGGTTTCTGAGACGTACCAAAGTGCTTATCAGTGATCAGTTGCCAAAAAAGGAGGACCGAGTAAGAGCACCTGCACATTTCAGATACAATGCTAGTGCATGTATCTCTTCTTTTTTGTTTTTCTTGTGTTTTTCTCTTTCATCGTGAGTTTAGTAGTTTATGGTTTTCTTTTCAACTTACGAATTTAAGAAGAATCCAGAGCTCAAAAAAATGCACGTGCAGTAGTGTGCTTTGTTCACGTAATTACTATGATTGCATGTTGAAATGGAGTTAATCAAGCATGAAAATGCTCAGCTAGACTTCTGACTAGTGATTTATACATCTGTTTTATGTGCATTTTTGTATTTATCTGTGCAAAACCAATGCAATACATGTAAATCTCTTGAAATTCTACACAGGACTTCTGAATTTGCAGCTTGACGTGTTGTACATAGAACAGTATGGTTTTCATTTTTAACTCCCCCATTTCAATCACTAAATAAAAGAAAAATCCCAAGCCTAAAGCTGATTGTTGATAGGTCTGTCATCCTGTTCATCTAATGGTATTGTAAACATTATATAAAGTGATGATACTTATGACTATAGCTAGGAGTTCTGACAATTTCTTAGTAGATACGAATGTGCTTTTCTTCTAAGTAGAGAAAAAGCATTAGTTTGTCTCTGGGTATGTTTTCAAAATTTGGTGTGTAATCTTCATCCTTGGTGTATAATAATGTCATCTAAACTGTCTTCTGAAGGAAAGATTAACACAAATGTCAGTCACTTGCTTTTCTAAATCTATCAGGTTTTATTCTTTTCATTCTCTTGTTAATGTGAGTATATGTTCAAGTTACTGCTGTATTATTATAGCTCAGCATGGTGCTGCTGCTGTGTGGGTGGCCTAGGTTAAGAAATGATCTTGGGATTTCTGTCTCCTGCTGCTTAAGACTAAAGATGTCATGGAGATGCCACCCATGGTCTCTAAGAAGAGGGATAAGAGTTTTGGTCATAGCACTGTGTAGATCTTTGCCTTCTCATTGCTTATTCTGTTTGTCTTGCCTGTGGTAGACAAGCACTGCTCTACAACAGCCAGTACCTAAAAAGAGGAAATAAAGGGTACATTAAGCAACTGGCAAAGCAGAGGGGGAATCCTTAATTGCAATTGTGCATTTATTTCTCACTTTTCCCTCCTCCTCCTATTCCTCCACAAAAGCCATACTGAAAGGTTTATAGAAACCTAACAGCAGATTATTGTAGGTTGATATTGATACGGTTTGTAGAATTTTGGGAGGGGATAAAATAGCTATACATCTATTTTGCCTACAATTTCATACTATTTTGAAGTCAAGATCCAGGTTTTTTTCACTTGGTTGTAGAATAATTTCACGTAACTATTTGAGCAAATACATTCTTGTTTTCTGTTTTATTTTCAATGTTTTATGTTTTTTTGATGCAGTACTCTCTGCTTTTCACTGTTTGCTGCACATAACTGTATTGGGGGTTCTCTGTCTGTGGCAGATGGTGTACTGTTCCCTAACCGAATTCCAGAAGGCTGTGTACCAGGCTGTGCTAGAGACGGAGGATGTAAGCTTAGTATTACGAGCAGGAGAGCCCTGCAGCTGTAGCAGCGGCCGTAAAAGGAAGAACTGTTGTTACAAAGTAAGAACTTGCACTGTTTGGATTTTAGAACATAGTCTTTCTGTTGTGGGTGGTAGATAGGTTTTCTCAAGAGACTCTGCTGATGAAGAGCTGATTGAAATGGCTGTGTGATGGTAGTTCATCTGTTTGGGAAATCCCAACTGCAAACATGGGTGGCTGCATCGTGAGCGTGGCGGAATTAGGCACTTTGGGATTACAGCAGATGTGCTTTGGTGCCCTGAGCAGGTGATTGTTATTTATGCAGTGAATTACAGATTTCTTGTATTAATAAGTGCACCTGTGAAACAGTTGATGTTGGCAAGGAATATTGCATTGTGATGCTCAGTATGTGTCAGGCATGCTGCTCCCATATGCCTCAGGTGGTCGGTGTGAGAGCTGCAGATCGGAGGCATCCTGCACCCATGGGGTTGTCTGGGCCTTGCCTGCGTTGTAACTGCAGTTGCATTGTGTCTGTGCCACTGAACACGTGCTTTGCTTTGCTTCATTGAAGGGAGAACTCCTGACAGGAGGCATAGATCACGAGAGCAGAACTTCGTTCGCGAGTAACAGCTCTGTAGATTTCTTCTATCATCTCTGGGCTTCATTAACACAAAACAGTCTACCTCTGCCTGTGTTTTCTCACATTAACCATGTCTTTTTAACACTTGGGAGCATACATCTCATACTTGTTTCTCCCTGCTTTCTTTCTGACCTGTTTTGATTCATGTATAGTGTTGTTGTGTTTTGGTGTTTGGTTTGGGTTCTCCCCTCCCCCCCCCCCCCAATGTTACAGCTTATTCAGTCTTCTGCATCTTTCTTTATCAGCCTGCTTTTAATATTCCTTGGATGCTAGAATTTGTTCTTTGATGTTGTGTAGAAAAAAAGTAGAATGCTGTTGAATGTAATTCACAAAGGGCAGCCTGCAGATACTTAAGTGCTCTTGTGGGCTGTCTTATTCCAAAGTTAACCATGAAATTTAGCAACTTGAGAAGGGAAAGGGAAATGAACGTTGGTTGAATCAGCCAACTGTAACCAGAAAAACAGCTGATGCTGTTGCTGCATTGTAGAATGTTTGACGTTGTTTGAATTTCGTTACTTGAGATGTTTATAAAACTTTATACATTTCTGCTGTGGAAAAAAGTAAAGTTAGCAGTCCTAGGGTAAAGAGTCATTTAAACAGCTCTTGTTCGATTTACATTTAAATCAGTTGTAAAGTTACTGTCTTTTTGTATACCATGGAATTCTTGGTTATCTTGGTAATTTCTGTAGATAATGTTTAGCAAACTGTGAATATAGCTGTGGGTTTTTTCTTTTTAAGATGTTGTCATCAGTAGGGTCACAAAGCTGAGGAAAAACCCACATGTTGCATTTTTGTTAGAAATACAGTATTCATCTATTCGGGTTCAATTGTAATACTTCTATAGAATAACTAATGTATTAAATCTTGTAAGAATAGCATTTAGATTATTTCTTATTTTCATGAGCATTTGTTTGCATAAACGTTTTTTCTTTTATTTTTTGTAGGTAAATGCTCATGGTGAAACAATTAAGTCACTGCGCTTCAGTTACCTGACAATCCTGCAGAAGGTTGCCAACCATGCTGCACTGCTGCAGACGGACAACACTAGCAAGCAGCAGGTTAGTTTCAGGAGCATCTAAAAATACTGTGGAAAATGGGGAGAAGAGTCTTGAATGAAAATTGCTGCTGGCCTCCTTTTTAAGTCTTCACTAGCTGAAACAGATATTTTGTCAAATTCCTTTTCCATTCAGTAATCCAGAATGTAGCCCTTACTAAATAGACAGAGATGTTGCACAACGGTGTGTTCATTTAGTTGACGCAGATCTGAAAATTAAGGCTTTAGAAATATTGGAGAGCTTTAGGGGGAAGAGTAATTTTTAGTGATTTCTAATAATGGCAATTCAGTGCCATTTGTGACAAGTGTCTAGTAAGAGGAATGACTGTGAAAATAAATAAGCAATTAGAACATTTTCTTTTCACTAGCATTTTTACATTCAGAGCTGAGCTGCTTTAAATAATGAGAAACATGTTTTAGTGGAAGATGCTCAATAAGAGAAGAGTGTCAGTTTTATCTTCTTACTGTGCCAGTAAGCTACAAGAGCCACAAATGGCAGAGTTTTTAAAAATGCTTGTATGTGATCCTTACGATCCAGAAATGAGCAGAAGTATTTAGGGACATTACCACTTCCTCTCAGAAGCCACAAGGGAATGAAAATGAGAATATCCTAGCTGATTTTTGCAAGTTTGTTCCATTGAAGCAGTTCTGCTTTTTAGGAAATGGTACTGTACAGAGCCTTATCACAGCAAATACACAAATGTCTTCAGTGTTGTTTTTTTTGTTTTGGGTGTTCTTTTAATATTGCGTATGTAGTTTTTGTTGTAGTGACATTTGAGAATGTAAATAGCCAGTGAAATAACTACATATTTTGAGACATACTGTCTTTTATAGCATACTTAATTATGAACTGCTCCAAAATCTACTGAAGCAACTGATATTTTGTAGTATTTCTTACCTTTAATGCTAAAATTCATCACGCATTACTCTCAGGTGAGAGATGCGGTCTTCTCTCTTCTGAAAAAGTAGGCTTAGAGTGTGTGGTTACGTTCAAGTTCCTAGCTACCCAGATTCTATCACTGGAGCTTTAACGTGGGGTTTGAACGGTTCACATGCATTTGCCGTGTTGGTTTTTGTCATATCGGTGGGACAGCATGTTATTCCCATATTGGCTTACCATGCCAGAGCGTCAGGAGAGGTGCTGGTACGCAGCTGTTGGGCAGTGCAAACCTCAAGCCAGTGGAGTTCTTACGGCTGATAATTCTGGCCAGTGCTGTTGCAGTCTCTGCCCAGGAGAAGTTGTTTTGGCCATCTCTACTCTGGTAACTGCAATCCATGGTTTCAGATTAGGATCCTCTTCCTTTTTTAAATGAAGCAAACCAAAACATGCAGGAGATGTTTTATCCAGCACTTCTGTAGTGAACTGAATAAAACCACCTAACACTTTCTGCTTGAGTGCTTTAGCAGATTAGTTGTTTTGACTTGTTTAAGTCCTTGTATGGCTTACTGGTATCCCAGTGTAAGTCTGATCTTTAACACCTATTCAAACTTTCTGTTTTTCTTCCAGGAAGCACATATCAAACGGGTGTGCAACCAGGTGTTTTCCAGTTTTCCAGATTTTGTGCAGTTAAGCAAAGATGCGGCCTTCGAAACAATTTCGGATCCAAAGTACAGTGGAAAAATGAAGGTAAATCTGCTCTTTAGAGGAAAAATAAGTATTAGTAATAGTAATAGATCTGCAGCTGTAGTATATGGATATAAGAAAACATACACCTAATAGTTGTGGGGGTTTTAATCTTTTTTTTTTTAATGGTGGTGATACCACAGCGGAAGTCTTATGTCTTGGATTGGGGTGCTTGTGGGCAAAGACTGGATGAGAGTGGTCTGTGATACTAAGATATCCTCAGTTGTTCGCTTCACATATTTAGTGATGGTCATGGAAATGAGCCTTGCAGCCAAGGGGATCAGGATCATAATATTATGACAGGTAGTTCCATGAAACCGTCAACTCAGTGGCAGTCAGAAATGTTTGCGGGAGGAAAAGAGAGCAGAACAAAATCCTTATGGACTTAATAGTTTGTGCAGTTCTTCAATGTTGTGAGTAGTTCCAGTCCCTCCTCTCAAAAAGACTGTGTTAGACCTTGAAAAGGTTCAGAACAGGGCCAAAAAAGGGGATCAGTGCTGTGGGACAGAAGCAACCAAGCAAGACTCTCCAGCCTGCAAAAAATGTCTTAGGATGAATGGGAGTGGGACAGTTGTGTAGCATGGAACTGGTGAAGGTATGCTTACTGTCTCTTCTAACCTGTTGGACATAAAATGAAGCTAACAGGAGCCAGACTAAAGATGAACAAAATAAACATGTTCAGTGTGAACCTGTAAAACTCCTTGGCTCAGAAACTGGTTTCAGAGGTGAACAGGATGGATAACTGAAGATGATGTCCAATGTAGCTAACTAAATAGACAACCATGTTAGTTTCAGGAGTGCTCCTGAGCTGAGAGTAACTGGAGGGTGAGAAGTTATGCAGAATGGAATATACTGTATTTTTCTCTCTCTGTAAACCTGAATATTCACAGTTGTTGGTTGGGACTAGGGAGGGGAGGCAGTGGCTGGGCCATGTTTTTTTTAACAGTGATGGTTGGTATCACTTTATTGATTTGTTCTTATGCAAGCAACATCTTTCTTTGCTGTTACCACGTACATGTGATAGGCCTGCATAGTACCTTTGTTGTATGCTCTTCGTTATCTCATGGGAGTCAACTTACTGTTAATTAGCAGCAAGTATTACATACATTAATTAATAAAAATTAAGTCCGTGATCATGTTTATGAAGCTATTCTTTTATTGGTTACAACTAATCTTGCTTTTCTCTAGAAATGTTTCTCTTGGGGACGTTGCATACTTCACTCCAGTGCTGCCTTACGACATTTTCATTATGTGTGTTTCGACACACTAGTAAACAAAACAGGCAAACAAAAATGTCTGCGTTAAGGTAGAGCTTCCAACATTATGTGCCTTTAAAGTCTGCTGCCTATGGAGCTGCCCACTGGGAGGAACATGTTCCACATTGTGGCCATCAGGGACAGCATATATTGCAGTGTCTTCTCGGGTGTGCAGCTGACTGTGGCTGTGTGGGTTGAGTGTCACCCTTGGCTAGTAGCCCTAAGTGTCCTCTCATGCTCGTGTGCAGTGGTCTTGGGTGGTAAGGAAGAAGGTTATTCTATATTGCGGGGCTGGAATAAGCATAATGGAGCTGTCAGAGAGCAGGAGCTGTGATCTCTAATTATACTGAGCTTGTGCTGATGGCTTGATACTGATGAGATGTCAGGCAAGTTGAATGTTTTGACACAGAGAGATGCACATGGTTAGAAAAATGAATCTCTGAGGTACCAGTGGATAAGTGCCAGGCCAGTTTATATTTTTGGATTAATTGCCCAGACATAAGTAGAATAATAGAATAGTTTGACTTGGAAGGGCTCTTCAAAGGTCATTAGTCCAGCCCCCAAGTAGAATGAAGTGAGAAATATGCGATTAAAAATAATGAGCTACTAGTGTGTTGATTCCTCTTGTTGTGTGGGTTTGGTTTGGTTTTTGTGGTGTGTGGGTTTTGTTTTTTTTAATTGCTAGTGAATCAACTAATGCTCATCTTTTTTTCTGTCTTGCTAGAGACTTTTCTGATGATGCTTTTTATTTAATTTTTGATTTTTTAGCTTGTCAGTCTGTATTGATAAATATTCCTGTATTTCAGTTTATTTTTTAATATATTGTAGTAATTGCAAACCCACCCCCTACCCCCCAAAAAAAAACCAACCAAAAAAACAAACACCAACTGTCAACCCAAAACAAGACATAAAAGCCCCACAACCCCCCCAAACAAACTCCAAATCCTAAATAAACACATATTCTTGAGAAGATCCTTGGTATGGAGCATTTCCATTTTTTAAAAGAAGCGTAGTATATATCATGGGAAACTGAAACTCCTTTTAAAAAAGTCAGATCAGGCAATACCCTGCAATGCTAGTAGAAAAAATGTACAAAGCAATGTGAAGCTTTCTTGCCTCGAATTTAAGAAACTGTGATCTGGTATTATTATGAGGGTTTCTGCTTGTTCAGTTTGTTTTTTACTTTAGGAATTACAGAACAGAAGCATTTTCAAATGCTGTATTTGTAGTAGCACAGTAGACTTACAGACTATTGTTGCACTGTTGATGATCTCTTGGTTTGCATGTGTGATGCTTTATTTTAGAAATCTGTAGTGTCTTTTTCAGCCATTGCAAACAGGATAGAATTCATCTCAGGATTATTAAAAGAATTTCTTACTTTGAGGGGAAATTGGTATGCTCTCTGTTCAAGGGAAACTTGAATTTTGTGTTAGTTCATGAAATACATGTATAAACAGAATATTCTGAACTATGTGGTGATATCTCAGTGCCTGGAAGGATGAGTTTTTTGTAATGGGCCAAGTAGCCATCGTTGAAAAATAAGGTGGTTTTGAGTCCATCAGATTTGACTTCAGAATTAGTATGATGTCAAAAATTGGTTCATACACATCTGGTATTGTGGTGGTGGAGGGGGGGGTTCTGCTGCTGATTGCATTGGCGGCTTGTCTTGTGAGAACAGATTGTTTAACACACTGTTTTCTATTCTCAATTTTAAACCAGAAGCCATTGGGGTAATGGGTATAAATTGAAATCAGGGAGGTTTAGATTAGATGTCAGGAAGAAATTCTTCACAGAGAGGGTAGTGAGGCACTGGAACAGGTTGCCCAGAGATGTTGTGGATGCCCCATCCCTGGATGTCTTCAAGGCCAGACTGGATGTGGCTTTGAGCAACCTGGTCTAGTGGAAGGTGTCCCTGCCCATGGCAGGGGGGTTGGAACTAGATGATCTTTAAGGTCCCTTCCAACCCAAACCGTTCTATGATTCTATGATTTTGGTTTTCATGCTCTGGAACCAAAGTCATTCAGAAGGCCTTCCTTTTAGAAGGTCCTCTTACCATCAGAAAGTAATCAGAGGAGAATCATCGAGATACTAGAGCTTGAAAATTACTTACAATATTTTTAACATGTTCATTTGGAAGTAAATGAGACAAAATGTAGTAAAATGTTTTTAATAGCCTTGTCCCACTGTAATACATTGCATTTTCTGTTCTATAAATAAATTCTAGAAACTAATTAAAATCGTTTGCAACTTTCATCTGGTATCATAGACTATACAGATATCACTTTGTCCTTTAAGTTAGGATTTAGTGCAGGCTACCCAGAAGATTCGGCAGGGGGATTAATCTTTTGTAGATGAGAGTACTTGCAAAGGGAAGGTTAGTGGCATTTATTCAGTGTGGAGAAAGGCTGGGACTTGTCTGTGGAGTTCATTAGCTGAGGAGTCGTAAAAGGTTAGCCGATCTGCTAAAATACCTTCTGTTCTCTCACCAAGCAGAGATAAAACGTGGAGGCACACATAGCGTTTTGTACTGTGGAATCGGCCACCAGTCAAGCTAGAATTGCTGGAAAGGAAGTGTGAAGGTGTGGCATATTGGTGTTTGTGCCCTGCCAGGTGCTGTGGCTGCAATCATCTCCATGTGGTTTGCAAGCTGTAGCATTTATCGCATGCCAGCAAACAGAGTTTGCTGTTCTGTAAGATTATAGCAAGAGCCTGGGAAAAATAGTCCCTATAATCTATAGTCCCTATAATCATCAACAATGAAAGTGTTGATGGGGTGTACCTATGACTCTGAAAAGTCCTCCTTACAGTGGGAGGTAGGCAGTTAACACAGTGACATGTTCTGAATTTCGGCTGCCGTTGTGGAATTACCCCTTCATTTTCAGTCATACTGCAGGTCCGACAGTTTGCAGAAGACTTTGCTTACACATTGTATTGCAAGGTGAATTTCGTGCCCAGGTTTTTAATTTTAAATAGTTGAATATGTGAGAGTTCAAGTGAAAGGATTGTGCTGCCTTGCTTGGAAACCACCCTTTCTGCATCATGAAGTAAGAAAGTGTGGACCTGCAAAGTGGAAGGACAAGTGGTTCCATTGCTTTTTAAACACAAAGACTGGAGATTGTTCACACAGAAGTATGGGGGTCTGCTTGGAAAAGAAGTAAGAAAAATGAGGGTATTTTTAAGAGCCTGCAGTAATTCCCATTAGTACTTTGATTGTTTCTACAATGTTGTTAAAATTCTGGCTCAGAGAGGCTATTTGCTTTTTAAGTGAAAAGGGCTATTAAATGTCTGGACACTTGAAATAACTGCTTTTTTTTAAAGCTATGTGTATAGTATTTCCACAGATTTGTGGAGTTTTGGAATACTGTACTTAATTATTATAAATCTCTTAGGAGTAACTATGTTGGATTGATTTATTTATTTTGCCTGGCATATAATCATTGCTTCAGTAGGAAAATGGAAGTCTATCGGAGCACCTTGCAAATAATAACAACTTCCACTATGAAACATAACCCCAACCCAGGCAGGCATGGTTTTGAAGGCTTCAAACCACTGTAGGCTAGCTTGGACTTCTGTATACAAACAGGATGTTTTCAGAAGTGGGAGCTAAAATTTCATTACAGTCAGAAAACTCACAGCGTGTAGTAATGGGGAGATACGCATTTAAATCCATGTGCCCGCTTACAAAAAGCATGTTATTTTGCATGAGTATGACCAAGTATTTCTTTTTCAAACTAATAACTTTCAGGGTACTTTACTTCTCTTTGGTGCAAACCCATTCATTACTTTTGTGAGTTCTTCAGAGCTGTTCGTTACTCCAGAATACCTGAAATCCCAATGGGTATGACATTGATCCATTTTATTTAAACAGACTGGGTGGATTTGTTTGTGTGTTCTCCTATAGGCAATTCATTATTTGACCTATACTTTAGTAACAGCAACAGTAGCCAAGTTGCCCCTGCTTTGTAAGTATGTCATGATTTCTTCTGTTTCTTAATGTGGCTAAATAAAATGCAAGTGTAAGTTACTTAGCTCTTGTTAAATTACCTGATGTGGATCTTTTTCCCAGTAAAAGAAATCCTGGTTTATATGTTGTTGTACAACAAAACCAGGTAAAAATTACCTTGTTTGTATCTTGTTTTCACTTGTAACTGGTTGGCTAATTTATACAACAGGACTTAGAAGTGATGTGGAATTACTATTTTATATTCTAGATAGTCTCCAGAACTGTAAGTTTAATATAAACAGTCCTCATTATTTGCTTGTCAAGATTGGTTAGGCTTCTAGTGAATGCAGTGTTGATTAACGTTTTATGTATTTATCACTGAATAAATATAATTTTTAAATATTTATTGCCCACTGGGAGACAGCTACAGACACGGTACAGAAAATTCCTCCTTTTTCCCCTCTGTGCGTTGCTTCTGCGCGGTACTCTGGAGCTGCCATTGCCAGATGTGGACATGGTTCTTTTGAAAATAACAGTATCACTATTATACACAAGGCTCTGGATTATTTGCTTCCCCACCAGAAGAACATTGTGTGTGGGCGGATTATTGGCGTTTCAAGGTCTGTGCAGAGTCTGGGAAGCTGGATCCTACTGTAAACAGAGCAACAGGCCAGAGTGGGAGCGGGGAGAGGCATACAACTCGGATTATTTTAAGAAGACAAGTTCCAAGAAGTTCTGAACTCAGATGCAGTACAGAAAACGTAAACAGACCTTCCTGTTTTCAGGGGAACTGTGTGCATTAGCTAAGTGCAAAAATTCACAATGTGAGCTGGCACATGAAATAGTAACGTTTTGTTGCAGTCTATGCACTGACACAAATACCTTCTGAATCTACCTGTTAGTAGTATGATTGCCTTTTTATAGCAGGATTTCCATGTAGATCACCAAAAAAATGCAGAAGTCTGGCATCTCCATTACCTTTGGCACATTTTCTATGCTACTAACCTTTTTTCTTATGCCTCTGTTTGGCTTTGCAAACAATTAACTACAGTGTAGGCTGTTTGAAGGTTGAAAATGCAAGTGTGTGTGAAATGTCTCTTCATTTGTATTCTGTGGTTCATTTACAGGTCCTTCAGCAGCTTTTAAATCACTTCAGAAGAAACAAGGATAAAGTTCTTCTCTTCTCCTTTTCAACAAAGGTGAGCTCCATATGAATTTTATCAGTTAACTGCCGCAGTAGGTTCTGAAGCTTGAATCGCCGAGGTGACAGCTGTTAACCACATTTCCTTTCTCTCTGTACTATGGGAAATGATGATAAGGACAGTGTGCCATACTCCAGAAGCATGTTGAAACCTGATGTTACCTCATGATAAAAATGGTGATGGGAAAACAAATGTAACACTCTGCTGCCTTCCTTACAGCTTTTTTAAATTGTTGTATTAGTTCAGGTGTAGATAGCTCATACTGAGTTCAGCTGCTGTGTCTTGAGTTAGAGCAGTGCCATGGCAAAACACAACCAAAGTACCGTACAATCTCTGTGTTAGCACTTGAAAGTAGTTAAATTTCCTCTGTTCTACTGGCTTTTGACCATCACCGGTGTGATAAAAATTCAGCATTGAGACTTACTAGACCAGTTGGTTTGAACTCAAAGCAGTGTTTAATTGGAGCGAGAGGTGTATGCACACTTCATGTTTAAGGGTCCTTGATTTTCTTGTTAGAGAATAACATGTTCCCTGAAACAGTACAAACTGTAATACAGTGTTCTTAAATGTTTGTATTGATAGCATTAAAAAGTATTAAAAAATAGTGTGAATGACAGTTCAGAGTCTTAAATATGTAATAATTTTGAGGCTTTTTGAGGCAGGCTGAAAGCTTAATATTTAGATGTAGTAGTAAAATGCTCATGTGTCTTATGCTGTGCTTCACAGTGTTCAAGACAAGACTGCCTGCTGGTTACTGCAGTCTCTTTCACTTGGCCCCTCTGAACTCTGCCTGTGCATACCAGCCTGTGTCTCTGCTGGGTCTGGTGCTCATTTACCATACTTCAAGTAATTGTAAGGGTAGGAAACTGTTCAAGTTGCCTGCCTGCTGATTGGGTTGAACTGGCTCAGCATCACGTGGAGGTGGGACAGGCCATCAGGGTTGCAGGATTGAGTGAGACCGCAACAGACCAGCATTAATCACCTTAAGTGCTGTAGAATCACAGCTAGAGTGTATCAAGGATGTTGATATCAAAATGGGGAATATTTACTCTTATTTGGGGAATATTTACTCTTATTTTCGGTGCTTGGTCTGTTGAAAATATATTTGATAAACATGGCGTCTGTGATTATGTTTAATTAAAAAGATAATAGTAAGCACTTAATCTTTTTCTTTTAATTAATTTTTCCAACCAGTTGCTAGATGTGCTGGAACAGTACTGTATGGCATCTGGGCTAGATTACCGAAGACTTGATGGAAATACAAAATCAGAAGACAGAATCAGAATTGTAAGAGAGTTCAACAGCGTTCAAGAAATTAACATATGTCTTGTGTCTACAATGTAAGAAAATTTAACTTGTTGTCTGTTTTACTGTGCATTTCTAGTGTTTAATAAATAGGTTACTCTGCATGTTACTTGGTGACCTTGTGAGGGATTACTTCCATAAAAAAGTGAATTGTTCTTTTGTCTGGTAGTAAACATAGACACTGCTGTGGACTTGCCCTCTCCTCTCATTTATAGCTAAGATCTGAAACAAGCAAGTCTTCTGAATCCAAGTTTTATATTTCCACTTGCTATAGGAGAGAGGAAACATGAAATGCTGTATTGAACTGAAAAATTATCTCAGTGTTACTGTAATTTATTAACCATGTGAACTAGCATATGTCTATTCAAAATACTTCATACAAACCTTGATTGTCTTTTTAAAATGCATATTCCTATCAGATCTGCTTATTGATTTGATGGATAGTGAATTCTTTTGAAACAGAATAATATGTTTGACTAAAATTAATGAAAGTAGGATGACCATTCTTTCACCTTCTTTTATTTATTTTCTTGAAGTTCTGGTTACTTCCATGTTTCATCTTGGATAAAGCTTGTTAACCAGGCAAGGGCAGAAAGCAAAACAAGGAGAAACCTTAGTCTTCCTGTCCAGAAGAAAACTCAGTGAAACTCAATGAAATACGCAAATGTGCCATTCTTGCCTATGCGGTCTCTTTGGTCCTTCTTTACTGAAAGTGTGCATATTGGAGTTGGATAGGAGGATCCACACTGCCTGTGTTTATTTAGAAGCTAGACGTAATCTTGGACTGTTACAAGTGGATGTGAGAGCTGTCTTCAGATACTCCCTGGTGCATGTGGGTAGGGTTGGGAAGAGATTTGTTTTGTTGCTCATGTGTATTGGTTTGTAATCAACTGTGGAACCCGACCATCAGCTTCCCTGTGTCCTTCATGGGTCCATATTCTTCGTCTCTGAAGACAGCAGGGAATTACTGCACCTGTAGCATTAGGAGAGACTCTGGTTTGTGCTTCTATCAGTGTAGGTTGTGCAATTACAACCTTTTCCGTTCTTTTCCATTAATTTACATAGAAATAAAAAGGAAGGTCAGGTAAACAGAGATGGACTTTCTCCTCTTAGCTTGTCAATGCCAAGATTGGTGAGCTTTCCGTGCCTGCATGGTGTTTGAGACAAGAGTCTTGATTCAGTTCTTCTTAGTGTCTCTCACCTTACTGAGCAAATATAAGGAACAAACAGTGGTGGAATTGCAGTTACTATAACCATTGTTTACCAAGAAAAACAAAAGGTGCAATTCTTTGTGTATTTATCGCAGATAACAAAGTTATCTTTTGGCTTCCTAGATATACAGTAATAGAAGCAGCCGTTATTTTGTAATCCTTTGGAAATCAGGAAGTGATTTATCACAGTTCTACTCTACAAGAGGTTCATCCTTCCTCTTACTCAGATTTCAGGCATTAGGACTTCACAGTGTATTCTTTATTTCTCAACACGTAGTAAGTTGACAGAATTGGGTCATACTCTTCTGTCCGTACTTTCTTGCAGAGTTTTTGGCCGACTGTTCTGTGTAGTCAACTTGTACGTGTTCTGAAAGTCCCATTGCTTGAAGAGCCAAATGTTGATTTTTGCTGAAAACACTTCCACAGTCTTTTGGCTGAAAAAATGCATTCTGCAAAGGATGAATTCCCCACATAGTGATCTTGAGTCTGCCATTATATTCCACTGGCACAGTTAACATACAGCTTTAAACAGGAAGCTCCAATCTATAAATTAGTGAGTTACAATGCAGACAGTGGGGATGACTTCACTGTTAAATTTACATTGTTCCTGTTCTATATTCCATTTTTTTTATACCAGCAAAATGCTGTTTCTGCCCTGAACTGCCTATCTGTAGCCCATAGACATTTGGAAATCCTGATTTTGATTGGTTGTTGAGGTTTTTTGAGAAACAGGGCCTTAAACAAATAAAATGAAATAAAATAAAAATCTGCCGGTCTATCTGTATAGCTTAACCTTGAGTCTTGCAGTTAATGTTAGCTATATGACTATGTTTGATACTATCTATAATGCTTTTATGGGCAGCTATGACTAATATAGTTATATGAATAAATATGTTTTGTGGGTGTTGAGAGAAAATATGATTTATTTCTTCAGAGACTGTAAATTTCATCAAACCAATAGGTATAGATTAAGAATTTCAGCTTTAAGCTTTTTGGAAAAATAGGTATACATCTGTTGGAACTTCCAAGGTTCATGAAGTCTATTTCAGAATATGTCAGTCCTGTGCTGGTCTTGTTGGAAAAATACATGATTATTTGGAATAAAGGAAGGGGAATTCTGGTTATGCTTAGAAACACTAAAATAATTGTTGGAGTTGTTATAACTTGGTAGGAGAATGTTAGGTCTTGCAACTCCTTTGATGGTGCTTAGCCTGAAGAAGAGGAACTCTGTGTGTACAATACTGACGTCTGTGCAGTCCTGTTCCATTGCATTGTTCTGGAAGAAATAAGAGCAGCAAGCGTTCCCATCTTTAAAGCTAAATCACTGTTCTCTGGGTTTTCCATGCTAGCCTTTCTCTAGATTAATTCCTTCAGAATAATTATAAATTAAAATATCTTTCTGCTTCTCAGTTTATTATGTAAAGAAAAGTGCTTAGGGGATGAAGACGTGATGGTTATAGAAATCCGTAGACAGTGTTTATGGTGAAAGGTTGCAGTGTGCATTTCCATTCTACCTGTAGAATTCTCAGTTACCATCCATTGCTGGACTGCTGTCCATTACTGTGTACTTTTTCACAGCTTCATTTAGCTTGAATTCTTCACGACTATGTTGTAAATAATAATTAATGTGCCTGTAATCACATTCAAAAAACTCTCAGCCACAAGCTCTCACTGAAACAGAGAACTTAAAAACTATAAAAAACTTAAAAAGAAACCAGCATTACATAGTTAGAGCTTTCATGGAAACTTTTCTCATGGCTTACTGTTTTGTAACTTATGAACAATGCGGCATTAAATTGTCAGTGATAGGATACAAACACAAGTCGTTCATTTCACACAGGATGCAGTTTTAAATAAGATGATCTTTTGAAAACCGTTGTTTGTTACAGAACCGTTACAAGGCATTTCATTAAGGGCTCTTCTTCATTTGACCTGTATGACAGTAATTTGCATGGAACATCTTGCAATAATGACTTTAACTGCTGGTTAAATGAACTTTAAAACTGAAGCTACTCTTTTACAAAAATGTACAGACTAACTATTGGATTCCTTCTGTCCGTAAAGGGTTTACAAGCCATTTATTTTCTGTTTTGGAGTACCTGAATTTTTGTGGCATACCTAAAAATATTGAAAGATAAAATCTTTATAAAGCTAAGTATCCTGTTCAGTTAATTTTCATAGTCAGTCTGTTTTGCTGACACAAAGGCTTTGGACTGAGGTTTAATTCATATTTCAGTTACAAACATCGCATTTTTTTATGAGAGCATTTGGAAAAACATGTTGACTTATGTTTCTGCCTGCAGGGTTGGTTTGCTAAGATGCGAGACAGAATTCTGTCCTCACTAAAAAGAAGTACACCAAAATCCCAAAATACAGTAAGGTATTCTGAAAAATACAAAGATTTTTAGTCAGCATTTCAAACTTTGAGAGCGCTCATCATCCGGAAACCTCCGTTAATATTGGCAGGTTCCCACATCCTCTCCCTTTCCAGATTTCACTAACCCAACACCGTACCACATCTGGAAGGAAGAGGCCACAACTGTATTTACATTAACAAGGATTCCATGAAGACCAGAAGGTGGTGGGGCTCCATAAGCTTTTGGTTTCTGTCTCCATTTACTCACATCCCTGGAAACTTTACCTTTCCCACTGCTTTAAACAAGTGGAATATAAAGTAACCTATTAAAACCAGGTGCTTGTTAAATTAAATGGGATTGAATGTTTCAGTTTTGTGTACCTCTTTCTGAAAAACACTTGAAATTTGTGCTATGTCAGTGTGAAGAATTGTTTTAATAGTTAAATCAGTAATGGTATAGCATGTGCTTGTGTAGAACTGTTCTCTTTTTGTAGGAACGTTGATTGAGCCAGTTGAAATGAATTTTCATTATTGGCTTGTTTTGCAAAGTGGCATTTTCCTCACTTTTGTTCTTATCAAGTCATCCAGCTACACACGTGCGAAACTCCAAGTAACTGAAAGTTTTGTTTGATTCAGCAAGGACCTTAGCTACCTCAGGTTAAGCATGTGCTCAGATTATTGGCTGGCTTGCAGGCTTTACCCAAAAGCACAGTACAGCTGTTGAATGTTTAAGACGAAGTGGTACACCCATGACTCCTTACTGCCACAAGAGACAACTTCCTTACAGTGACTTTTGTCCCTTGTAATGACAGGTGCGGAAGTTGCTGATACACAGCTGCGTGGCCATCTATACTTTTAAGAGTTGACTTACATGCTGTACGAATAGATTTGTGACAGTTGTTAATTCTTACAGATATGACTTGCCCTAGACCGTGACCATTTTAGTGGAAGCTACATAGCATTATTCTCAAAACTGTGTTTTGGGATTAGAGGAAGTAAAATTTAATGCAGACTTTGTGTTTGAGGTATAGTTTTTTTGCTTCTATAATGTTAACTGGCATAAAAGTGGTTATGAATTTCAGTATAGTCGTTGGGGAAGTTGGCCTGTGCAGAGCTCAGTGGGTGTGAAATAGCAATCAGGACTTTTACCATGGTAAGGGGATAGCGGTTGGTTATGACTTAGCTTGCCATACAGTTTGTCTCACCTGAGTAGCAGGAAGAGTACAACTGCATTGTACAGCAGTGGTTCTTTTATTACCCTGTGCTTATTAACGCAACAGTAACAGAAAGCTGTACCCTGCTATTTTCAGTATCCCTGTTATGCTCTTTTTTCCTTGTTGGGGAAAGGTGTGCTAATATGGACCTAATGCACTGGAAAAAAATGTTGGTTTTCTTACTGTCAAATAGTCCTATTTTTCCATTTTTGTGTTTTTAGGGCTGGTGGACTGGGTCTCAATTTTGTTGGTGCCAATGTTGTTATACTGTTTGATCCTACATGGAACCCAGCAAATGATCTTCAAGCCATTGACAGGTACACTCTCAAAATACAGATCTTGATCCATGATCTACTCTTTTTTTTTGCTTTGGTCCTTTAATCTCATTGTCCAACTAAATTTTCCTAAAGGAAGAGATTTTTTATATAGTCTGACTTGTCCAAAAGACAGTAAAAAATGTCCAGCTAAATTGTATTTTAGCTTTGCTGTTCTTGTTTTTAACCCTGATTTTTACTTCCTATTTTCCATTTTATTTTTGTAGCACTGTGATGGTGGATTCACTTTTAAAAGATTCAATGAAAAAAAAAAAAGACGTAGTTACTCTAACTTCTCCTGATCTCTAGAACAAGTGTGTATGTATAGCTGGATGGCATTTTTCCTATGTTTGTCAGGACAAAGTAATTTCTAACTGACCCTAGTTCAAGTGATGTTTTGAATTCCAGATTCGTTAAAGAAAAACATTTATGTTCTCTTCTGCTTCACCCTGGTGGAGATTAGTGTCTTTTCAGCACTCACTTCCACCTCTGATACTATACCACTGGAGCATTTCCAGGATTCTGGATTTTTCTTTCAAGGCTTTTTGATCATGGGAATTCAGGGACAGGCTTTTGAATATGTGAAGTAAAGAATATTGGAAGTTTTCAAAATTCAGTAGTTTTATATATTTTCATGAGCAGAAATAAACCTGTTTCTGTTGTCTTATCCAATTACATAATTCCTTTTTAAGGGTCTTTCTGATGCCTGAGAGATGTTCATGTGCACCTCAGCATTCTAGAGAAATATGTTTCAGAAATGTGTATTGTTGAAAGGGACTATCTTTAAAGATTTCTTCTAAGACCACATTTCTATAAATCAGAATTTGCCTTTTAGATGGAATACTGCCTGTTTGTTAGCGGTTTTTATTATGTTGTACCTTGTAAAGTGCTTTATAAAGTTAAGAAAGAACAGACTGCCACAAGTTATCCATGGTGTAACTGCTATATAATGCAAATAGAATATGTGGTGCAAGAGCAGATGGACACAGAGAGGAGGGGGGGGTGGGGGGAAAACCAAAACACAAGTACTCAGAAAACATAGTGGAAGATGTGTTTTCAAGAGAGATGGGAGACAGGCCTTGTGATACAAATTGAGGAGAAAGGTTTTTCAACTGGATAGACCAGGGAAGAAACTTTGAAAACTAGGGGTAAACAAAAAGGGAATGGAATACTGAGGAAAAACTTGGAAAAGTTGAAAAAAAACCCCTACCAGAAAACCCCCAAACCCACCCAACTCATAAATGATTCAGAGTACTCCTGTTTTATTGGAATGCCTTTTTATTTGTTTTACTGCCACTAAGAGTGCTTCTCTTTTTAACTGGTAAAAAAAAATATTTTTTTTTAATATGCCATTCTTCTTGCAGAGCTTATAGGATTGGCCAGTACAAAGATGTTAAAGTGTTCAGATTGATATCCTTGGGAACTGTGGAGGAGATGATGTACCTGAGACAAGTTTACAAACAGGTAAAGTTCACAAACTATTTAAATTGGGAGCTTTTTTTAGTTGTTTCAATGATTGAATTTAAGTCACTGTTAAACTTTTAAAAGTAATATTTTTAATGTTACTTTAACTGTTGAGAGCAGCTCAGATTTCATCTTCCAGCTGGGGGGCTTCTGACTATCTGCTTAATGAAATCAGATACCATGTCCAAATACTTGATCTTAGAACCTTATTCTTTGTCACTTACTTAAATCTGCATGAGGATAATGACAGTCTGTCTGCTACTGCATTTCCCACTCATTCAGCCTACAACCTCATCTTTGTGAATAACCCAGCTACAAGAGTGCTTGTCACTGAACACTTAATGCCAAATTCTTCCTATTTATGGCCCAAAATGAAAACTACTAGGTTAATTCATAAAATTTCGTAAAGCTTTTTTTAATACATGGTATCATTTGCCCACCACTTTGCCTTTTCTGTGTAGTGCATGCTTCAGGACAATCGTATCTCACTGATGTCCTTCCTTTCTCCAAGTTTATAAGCTTATAATGTCAGTGTCTTGACTTAAAGCCATCACCTTATTTCTTAACTTGCAACTTTTGTTGAGAAAAACATGTTCATATTTCATCTACTTTCTTTTTATTCTGCAGCATGCTCTTTGTTGTTCATATTTGAGTTTGCTTATTTTATGTTTTGATTCTGATGTCATCACAAAACAGTTGCTACATTGTGTGTTCCTCAAACCACACACTTTGTTTTACCCACATTAGGTTTTCAAACCTATCAATGCAAGTACAAAAATTTAGAGGGAGCAATTGTTTCAGATTGAGTATTCTGGCAGACAGCATGACTTCTTACCTTTGTAGCAGCAGCAACTACAAGCTGTTTCCCCTTCCTTTCTGAGGCAAGTTTTCAAAGGCAGGACAATAGCAAAGTCTTCTTGTCTTTTGTCTATAGCACCAGCAAGATTTTTGCTCTCTTTCTCCAGCCTTCCAAAAAAACGAGCTGCCTGAATCAGAGTGCTGCAGAAACTAACTATGACTCTCACAGATACATTTTACAATTTTTAAAATAAAACAGTTCTCTGTATAACCTGATTAATGTAGATTACATAATTAGATGGTCGAAAGTTACAGAAAAATGTGAGTGCAATGTCTTCATTCTCAGCTTCAGATACAGAGTCTCTGAAAATTGCCCAATTATCTGTGAGCATGTCAGCCCATCACCTTCTACTTTTAATTTCTTTTTAACAAGTTTCCTCTTCTTTATTTAGATAATTTTGTCAAAATTAAACAATACTAACTTTTTTGGCTTCTACAAAACACTGAATTTAAGTGAATTTCTGTGAAAATGCATTATGTTTATAGTGTATTCTGACTGATGGATCTATTTGGCTTTAAAATTGCTGAATTTTTTTAATTAGTGGTGTTTTGTTTACTGACCTAGCCATATGTGATTGAAGAGTCTGATATGAATAAAATTGAAATCTAACCTAATGGAAACCTGAATAAGTTATGTATGTATCCTAAGGTATACTTCTGTAAATACCATGCATAATTCGAGAGTAAACTGTGCTTAGCTAAAGTTACATGAGAATTTGACTGTATAGTTACTGGCCTGCATAATTCAGGAGATGTTACTGTCTAGGAAAATACCTGTTCAGTGGTAGAACTAGGAGTGAGTAGACCTGAAGAACTACCAACTGCTTAGAGATGGTTACAAACAATATTACAGATCTGGTGTCCATAAACCCATGATTTTGACATTCTTCCACCTTAAGTAAAATAAGCAATTATGTAAGTATTGAAAATTTGCAGTCATTGGAATGTAGCTAAACCTGCCTGACTTCAAAATGTTTTAATTCTGCTTGAAAAACTTGTCTTTCCTTTTCACCTGGGAGACTTTAAAGTAATTTCTGTTCAATATACTTAACAAGTGTGCATGAAAATTAAAATATTCAGGGATCAGTAGGAGTAATCTTGGCTTTTATTTAGTTCTTTCCAAGTAGACATGCAAGGCAAAGGACTATGAAAAAACAGTAACAATAGTGTTGAGGAGAGACGAGCAGTTAAGACATAGAAGGATGTCAGTAGTGTTGTATAGTGGGTGTCTGATATTAGACAACAATGAAGTAAAAGTCTTCAATTTTTTTTTTTTAATTTGGTAAATCCAAGCAGGTTTGTGTTATACCACAGTCTATGACACCAACATCTGCCAGGGAAATCAAAACAAAATATTCTCCCTTAGGAATCTCTGCCTGCTCCAAATAAAGCTGTGTATATAATGTGGATGCCAGGAAATTCTGACATGTTGTTGGAGCAAACACTTCTGAAATCTTTTGTGTTGTTCCGTTTTAGCAACTTCACTGTGCGGTGGTTGGAAGTGAAAATGCCAAGCGGTATTTTGAGGCAGTGCAAGGATCAAAGGAACATCAAGGAGAGCTTTTTGGGATCCATAACCTTTTCAAACTTCGGACTCATGGGTCCTGTCTTACCAAAGACATCCTGGAGGTGTGAAGTCTGACCTTTTTACTTCTGGATATTAGTCTTGCATTTTTCCTTTCCTCATGAGATGTTTCCATTCAGAATTATGACAAAATATTTTTTAAGATCATAGTAACATTTGTATAGTACACTTTGAGATGTCAAAAACTGTTTAATAAAATACATCTTATCATGCTGGATTTAAAAATGTTACAGGATGGAAAAGTAAATAACTGAGGCTTCCTATTTTAAGATTAATTTCTTAGTTACTCAGAAAAGACTATTGACACAATTCTGTAACAGGTAGTGCACACTGGTTTTATGTGCAGTATCATAACTTTTACTGTCCAGCATGTTTGCTGCAGCATCTTGGAGTTTACTGCAGCTTTATTTTAGGTTTCTTTCTGTCTTTCCCTGTATTTTCTTATTTTGCTTATACTAGGAAGGGGCTGGGGAATGTGATAGAGCAGTTTAAAGGCAGCATAGCCAAAAAAGTCATGTGGTGTAAGAACACTTACTTTTAGGGATATTAAGCTCAAAAGTTCTCCGTATGAAATATAAATTTAAAAATGGCGTGTCACACTGTAGCAGGTATTCTGCTTTGGAAAAATGTTAAAAGTTATTAAACCAGTGTGTGCATAACATCCTCCCGATTTCTGCACTATGTTAGTTTTCCTGCAGGTTATGGGTTAGATCAAAGAGCAGTAAGTGCCAAAATGTGAGTCTTTGGCTGGACTTTGCTAATTGTACTTCTGGTGCTTATGTCTCTGTAGAAAAAAATAATTATTTTTTTCTTTCCCTGGGCTTGCCTTGGTTAACTTCAACAGATGCAATTTTTAATCTATACGTTCTTGATTGTTTTAGAGGGAAGGGCGAGTAGAAGCAGGAGTCATGACAGCAACTACATGGCTAAAGGAAGAGGCTCCTTCATGCAGCTCAGAAAAGGTGAGGTGACTTAGTGGACTACAGACCAGAGCAGGACAGTCCCTCTAGTTCCTGATACTACAGTGGCAAAGTTGGACTGTATGTTGTTAGGCTGGTAATGCTTTTACCCTAGATTGCAGCTGCCATTTTTTATTGCCTGCTTGTCCTTGGTTTTACATATTGTAAAGCATTAGATGATGTCAGGCTGTCTGTATTTAAAGTGGAGTATTCTGAACATCTGGTAATAGGGTGTTCTGACTTTACAAAACTTGGATATTCTTGGCCTGAACAAAAGTATTACTAACACGCTGTCATTACAGAGCGGTATTATTGACTGAAGCAGTGCTCGGTAGTGCCTTAAGAGTGACGGCCTTACGATATGACATCACATGACAACCTTCTGATCAAGAAGTCAGTTGAGAATTTAAGACCTACTGTTGTTTAGAAGACTCTGGTTAGGGAATAGTGGAAGGGAGGGCAGTTGTTTTAGAGGATGGAAAGCTTGCTTCAGGCTTTGTGGACCTCTGGAAGACATGGGCTGTTCAGCTGATGTAATCAGGCAGTGATTCCCACCGAATCAGGGGTCTGTTCAATGCTGGCTCTTTTTTTGTTTGTTTGTTTGTTTTTTGGTAGTTACATAACATGTAATAATTTTCAGCTGTAATAAGACTCGCCTTGCCTTGTAAAGGCTGGGTTTAATGGGAACACATTTATGAATGTGTTTAACTGAACACCGAGTTCAGATGATTTTGGAAAAAAGCAGTGAAGTCTACAATATTGCCTCTAAGTGTGAAAATATCATTGGAGTAGATTCAATCACAATGGATGGTACTGAAAAGTAGCCATTGTCTCTCATACTTTTTGGAAGTTTCTGTGGGTAAATGCCGGTATTAATTTAAATCAGTATATTGTCATATTGGTCATAGTGTCACATTGCTATTTCATCACTGTATGGTCATGATCTCACCGGGGATTTGGAGACAAACAAGCTATTTTAGCTAGTGT